AGTCTGAATGGAATCGGAAGTTCGTTTCGCGTTTTTTGAGCGTCATTGATATTCAAAATTTTGATACTTTGTGGGGGAGGTATCAGAAAGAGTTGACCGATATATCCCATCTTCACAGTAGATCTTGTGTTATTAGAAATAGAGGGATGTATCAAATTAGAAGAGAATCAAATGCTTATTTCGGATTTTATGATAGTTTTGGTTATTGAAAACTTTGAACTTATGTGGGGGAGGTACCAGAAGGAGTTGACCGATTTATTTCATCATCACAGCAGATCTTGTGTTAGTAGAAATAATGGGATGTGTGAAATATAAATAGAGAGTAGGTTGCTTATTTCGGATTTTATGAACGTTTTGGTTATTCAAAACATTGACCCTTTGTGGGGAGGTCCCAGAGTAAATGGTCTTCACCAGATCTTGTGTTGATGGGAATATTGAGATGTATCAAGTCTGAATGGTATCGGATGTTAATTTCGCGTTTCATGGAAATTCAAAATTTTGACCCTTTGCGGAGGAGGTACCAGAAGCAGTGGACCGATATATCCCATCTTCACAACATACCTTGGGTTAATAAACATATTGTTATGTGTGCAATTTGAAGACAATCGGATACTTACAGCATTTTATAAGAGTTAAATTTATTCAAAATGTTGACGCTTTTTGGAATAGGTAATTGATGGAGTGGACCGAAATTGCCCTATTTCGCGCCTGACCTAGCACTGGTGCAAATGTTAGGATTTGCAAAGTTGGAGCCAAATCGGAGTATCCTTTCTCTAAGTTTGATAATAATAATACGGTGTAACAAGTTTGGAGCAGACAGGCAGGCAGACGAACATTGCTAGATCGACTCCAAATGTCATGAACCGGATTTGTTCCAAAGAGGGGTCTAAAACCGTTATTTCGATTTAGATATACACCCTCTAGCTAGGGCAAACATTTTGAATAATTATAACCCTTATAAAATGCGAAATAAGTATTTGATTGAAAAAAAAAAACGCGAAATATATATTTCAATATTTTTATCAACAAAAGAACAGGCTTGGAGATGGAATATATCGGACTACTCCTTTGGATACCTTCCCCACAACCGTTCAAAATTTTGAATAATTGTATTTCTCATAAAGTGCAAAATTAGCATCCGATTATCTGGTACGTTGTCATATTTATTTCTGACTTATGTCATATTTGAAATGGACAATATTGGCCCACTTCATTTTTTAAAGAGGGCCGTAGTAAATCTACATACTTTGAAACTTTTTTGTCAAAAATTCATAAGTCAAGATCCTTAAATGTTATATTTAGGCTGGTTCGGTAGTAAATTTTGGCTGAAACCTTTAAAATTCCGAAATATATTTGTTTTTTCATTAAACTGACTATTTCACCTACGTCCTTCGACGCTTTAGAATCTTTAGTATGGGAAATTTTTACTCTGTATTATGTATTTTTGCATTTGTTTGTAACATGGAGAATTTTAAGGATATTCATGAAATCACTTTGTGAGTCGATTTATGCATGTCGGTCCGTCTGTCCGTATGTTCATGTATTTTTGTGAACCAAATGCAGGTGACATTTATTATCCGAATGAAATGCAATTATCTAATCTAATATCGGTTCAAATTTAGGTATAGCTCCCATATATATCTTCAAACGATTTCGGATTAATTGTGCATCAAATGGCCTATATCAGTCCAAATGACCTGAATTTTGGGAAATCCGACCAAATCCAGAAGAAGCAAGTATACCAAATTTAAAAAAAAACAATTCAGATATAGCTATATCTCTCATATATACAGGGTGAGATAACAAAAACTGCAACAAAGTCAAACGCTATAATTTAGGTGTTGTTTAGTGCCAACCTTGCTTTCCAAATTACTCCAGACACAATAGTCCAAGGGATTTGTATCCGGAGATTTTGGTGGCCATTGACCGCTGGAAATGAAGCGAGGAAACTCATTTTGTTACCATTCTTGTGTGGCGCGTGCTGAGTCCTGTTGGAATGTCCAATGTCTGCGGCCAAAATGTTTGCGTGCCCAAGGCTTTAATACACCCTCCAGAATATTTTCGCCATTTTATTCTGATGCCACGGTCGATTAATACGAGCGAAGAGCGACCATCGGCCGTCATGGCGGCCCAACACCATCACCATGGACGGCTCTTTAGTTCTGGTGGCTAACGAAGGTGCACATTTTTAGCTGACCTCTTTGTCAAGTAAACACGACCATTTTTTTGTTTACAAACGGCAACGAATGTTTTCTTAACGAAGAAAACCCAATTCGGCAGTTCTCCACTTTCGGCCAAGCAAAGCAACTCTTTAGCTCTTCGGAGTCTATTTTCTTTCTGTTGCGCTGTAAGTTCTTGCACTTTTTGGAATTTCGATGGCTTTACCCCGAGCTCATTTTTTAATATTTGCCTAATGGAATATTGCGATATGTTCAGCTCACGAGTCATTTTTCGGCCACTGCGACGCGGGTTTCGATCAACCATTTGACATCGGGCTACTCTACCAGTATCATGGTAACGAGCGATGGTACGAGACGAAATGAAATGTACGAAATGCATAAATTAACCGGGGAAATCCGTTAGTTTTCATCTTAGAAGTTTATGTCTTAAGTCTTTCGTTTATTTTCAATTAATTTCACTTTTTATACCTTCCACCATACATAGTATGGAGGGTATATTAAGTTCGTCATTCCGTTTGTAACTCATCGAAATAATTATTTTAGACCTTAAAAAGTATATATATTTTTGATCAGAGTAAAATTCTAAGACGATTTAGCCATACCCGTCATTCCGTCTATTGCAATCACAGCAGAGCCAAAACGAATTAAGATGGGAAGCTAAAATTGTGCACAGATCAGTCGTTTGTGTGCAGGCAGGTCATGTTCGAAAATGGGCTATATAGGTCCACGATATCGTATGGCCTGTACCTCCGATATTCGGTATTTTGATGATTGTAGTCACTTTTTTAATGAAATTGTCTGAAAATCCACAAAAATGAGTTCCTTCTGAGTACTTTGCCCAGGTCTTTTTAAAGGCACTATATATTAGTACCTCCCTATATTCGGTATTTTGACGATTGTTGGTACAATATTCATCGAAATCGTTTGAAATTTTGTTTTTGAAGTTCCTTATAGGTGCTATATTGAGTTTGCCATTCCTCGAAATATACATTTTAGATGTAAGTATATATATTCTTGATCAGCATAAAATTCTATATCGATTTAGCGATGTCCGTCCGTCTATCCGAAATAGGTTGATAAAATTGTACTCAAATATATATTATGTCTGCAGGACTTTTGGTATTGAAAATGGGCCATGTAGGTCCACGTTTTGGTATAGTCCCCATAGAACGGCACCTCCCGATAATCGGTATTTTGATGATTTTCCGACATTATTTACCAGAACTATTTCAAATTTTGTATTTGAAGTTCGTAATGAATACTACAGCCTATGACAGTAAATTGTCCACGTCTTCGTATAGCCCCCATAGAACGGCACCTCCCGATATTCAGTATTTTGATGATTTTAGCAACATTATTCACAGGAATTGTTTCAAATTTCGTATTTGAAATTCCTAATAGCGTGTGACAGAAAATTGTCTATGCAGGTCTTCATAGAGCCCCGATATAACGGTACCTCCCTATATTGGGTATTTTGAGGATTTTAGCTACATTATTCATCGAAATTGTTTCACATTTCGTATTTGAAATTCCTAATAGGTTCTAAAGCCTGTGACAGAAAATTGTCTATGCAGATCTAGGTCTTCATATAGCCTTGGGCATTTTGAGGATTTTAGCTACATTATCCACCGGATTTTTTTCAAGTTTCGTATTTGATTATTGTAATGGCTTATGACAAAAGTCGCCTATGCAGGTCCACGTCTTCGTATAGACACCAATATAATGACTATATTCGGTATTTTTTTAGATTTTAAAAGAATTTTTAACGGATTTTATTTATTTATTTATTTATTTATTTATTTTTTTTTTGAAAATTTCCAAATTATTTCCAAATGGTGGAGGGTATTTAAAGTTCGGCCAGGACTTACTGCTTTATTACTTGTTATTTTTACCATAAAGCTATTGATAAAATGTTGATATTGATTAAGTGCTTTTTATAAATTTTTCAATTAGTATCCATTTTAAGGGTACGGTCGATTTTATGCATTGAAGATACGGAGAAAATATTAATGTTATTATAATTTGAGTGTGAAATGGTTTGGAGTGATAAATATTATTAAAATTATTAAGATTTATGGAATTGAAAATAAATATTCAACGTTGTTATTTATATAAGCAAAAAAAAATAATTAGAAAATAATTAGTAAATGATATAAGTTTAAACGTAAGCACTGGCAATCTTCTCTTTTTACCCACTAAAACTCGAGAGCATATTGAGTGACCTTAAAGTTATTTGGAGCAATTTTCAATTTTATAAATTTCTCTACATTTCACTTGTTCTTTATAAGACAGTGTAAACAAACAAATAAAATATATGCGTGAAAATGAAAAAAAAAACGTACTCTAAGGCCTGGTTTACATTAAAGGTCAGAATTTGTTTAGTGTCATTCGAAAAACATGTTTGTCTCTTAAGTCTTTTGTTTTTTATTTTTATTTTATGTTTATGTGCGTTTCTTATGCCTTTCGTTCTTGGGGTTACGTTTTAAGTCCAGTTTGGGGTGTCAAGAGATCAACAAAATGTTGGGCTCACACAGTCCAGTTTCGGTTTTCAAAACCATGTTAATGGGTTTCTGAACATTGTTTTTGTTGGGCCACTACAAATGGCATGAAAAGACAAAAATATTCTTGGCAACGAAAGTGTTTTAGAGTGGTGAATTTCAGAACCCCTTGTAAAACCAGTTGCAATGAAAGTAATTCGAGTTCCAGAGAAAATATTTTTATAAATATGTGACCGCAGAAAATTTCAACTTTCAATTGCAAAAAGCGAAGTGAAGCGAACAGAACGATTTTCAAATGGATTACAAATTTTCTTTAATTTTCGGCTTTATAATCGGACTTTTTGGCATTTCCTTGACAAATGGAATAATGCATAACAAAATGGATTACAATTACAATCAGCTAACAAGTGCCAAACCCTACAAGACTCTGCAAACGGGAACATTTTATTTGAATCGCAATCGTCCTTTATGGGTATTGGGTGATGAGAAAAATCGCGAAACAGTGGTGCCTCTGAAGAAACCCCCCAAAGAAAAACTTAAATATGATCACATCAAGCCGATTTATGTGCGTAATCGTCAAAACTCACGCCAATCTTCATATGGAGCGAATAAAAAATATCCCTACAAGGCCCAGAATCGTGTAACATTCTTCAGCCGATCAAATCTGAATTTGCCCAAAAATTATCTCCCACTCAATAGTCAAAGGATACCGGAATTTAAACCCATGCCACAGCTGCCGAAATTCGATGCAATCCCGGGTGAGGAGAGTTACGATAAAACCATACCCCTGTTCGTTTACACCGGCAATAAGGGGCGCATGTTGTTCAACACCATGATGAGTCGGTATAAATATCCCATGCAAGAACCGGTGCCGGGGCAAACCCTACATCCACCCAGGACATTGATTGTAAAAAATTCAGCCAAGGAAGACCAATTTAAACCCCAATTTACACCACAACCACCGGTCCTAAATGTGACCATGATACCCTTCTATGCCTTTGAGGCCATAAATCCGCGAAATCTAAACAATGAGATCTATACCAGCACCGCTGCCGCCACAACTTTGCCACCAACAAAATTCCATAAAAAATCCAAAAAATATTCCGCCTTCTTTGCACCCCAAGACATATTGAGCCACCATGCATTTGATACCACCACAGAACTGCCTTTGACGCTGGAGAAACCCTTTGCCAATCATCGTCATTATCTGGAGGAGTCACCCCAAACGCCGGCAACAACATCATTGCCCCACAAAAAACTTGAGGTTACCTATAATGATGGTGAGGACAAGTTTCACATTACCTATGAGGATGAAAATTCCGATGTAAATTTGGAGAGGCCTACCGAATATACGACCATTGGGCCGAGTTCATTTCAGCCCGTGCAATTATGGCCATCGGGATTTTATGGAAATTATAAAAACATCAATGAGCTGACATCGAATAATTTTAAAAATCCCCAAGAGATGGAGGGCTTGAGTCGGCCAAGTAATGAAAATGAGAAAAATCGAGAGGAAGAGAATCAGAAGACTAATAGTGGAAAAGAGGACACCACCACTAAGGACAAGGAGAATACATGGTTCATATTGAATTCAAGGTAGGGTAAGCATAATGTTCCAATTTTATTAAAAGTACTGAAAGATGTTCCAATGTGTACTAAAATGTACTAAATGCGGGCTAGTGGTGTTCTGCAAGAGGGTAAAGGTAGAATTATTAAATTTGAAATGCGAATAGCAGAGGGTGTAAAGCTAGAATGTTCAATTGTTGTTTCGTTATGATCATTCAAAATTTTGACCCTTATATCAGAAGATACCAGAAGGAGTGATTTGGGATTTGTGAACATGGAAGATAATCGGACTCTTAATTAACATTTTGTAAGAATTAATAATTTTTAGCCTTTGTGGGGCCGATATTGTCCACATCCGCACCTGTCCAAGCACTGACAAAAATATTGGGATTTGCAGAGTTTATACCAAACCGGCTGATCATTTCTCTTTCGTTAAAGTAAAATATTTCCTTTGAAAAATATTTTGTCCTTTGTGGGAAGGTACCGGAAGAAGTGGACCTATGTAACCCATCTCCGAACTTGATCTAATTTAACAATAATGTTACGATGAAGCAAGTTTGCCCCAAATAGGAGACTCTCTTCGAGATTTCTCATGCCAACCAGCCAGACAGACAGACAGACGGAAGGACGGACACCCTTAGATCCACTCCAAATGTCCTGAAACTGATTTAGTCCAAAGGGATGTAGAGTCTTCAACCGTTATTTCATTGACCTTTGGCACGAATTATGGTCTTCAAACGGCCAGTGAAACTGTCACACGCTGCCCGAATATTGCTCTGCGGTAATTTGCCCATTCTCGGCAAAGCGCTTGCTTGAAGTGTTCGACACTTTGGTATTTTTTTTTTTTAGTGCCAACCTTGCTTTCCAAAATACTCCAGACACAATAGTCCAACGGATTGGTATCCGGAGATTTTGATGGCCATAGTGCGCTGGAAATGAAGCGAGGAACCTCATTTTGCAACCATTCTGAATTGGCCACCTTTGGCACGAATTATGGCCTTCAAATGTAGATCTGCGGTATTTTGGCCCATTCCCAGTGAAGCGCTTGAGGTGATCGACACTTTGGTATTTTTTAGTGCCAACCTTGCTTTCCAAAATACTCCAGACACAATAGTCCAACGGATTGGTATCCGGAGATTTTGATGGTCATTGTGCGCTGGAAATGAAGCGAGGAACTCCATTTTGCAACCATTCTTGTGTGGTGCATGCTGAGTGCGATGGTGCTGAGTCCTGTTGTAATGTCCAAGGTCTGCGGCCAAAATGTTTGCGTGTCAAAGCCTTTAATACATCTTCTAAAATATTTTCGCGATAATATTCGTAATTTATTCTGATGCCACGGTCGATTAATAAGAGCGGAGAGCGATCATCGGCTGTTATGGCGGCCCACACCATCACCATGACCGGTGCTTGAGTTCTGGTGGCCAACCGAAGGTGCACATTTTCAGCTGACCTCTTTGGCAAGTAAACACGATCACTTTGTTTGTTTACAAACTGCTGGACAACGAATGTTTCTCTCATCGGAGAAAACCAAATTCGGCAGTTCACCACTTTCGGCCAGGCGAAGCAACTCTTTATGTCTATTGAGTCTTTTTTCTTTGTGGTGTAAGTTCTTGCATGTTTTGGGAATTTCAATATATTGCGAATGGAATATCGCAATATGTTCAGCTCTCAAGCCATTTTTCGGCCACTGCGACGCGGGTTTCGATCAAGTCGCTTCTTTACTTTTCGAACCATTTCTGCTGATGTTGCTGTTTTCTCCGTCCATTTCCTTAACGTGGGGCTACGCTACCAGTATAACGGTAACGAGGGATGGTACGAGACACAAAATATTTATTCACATTCAAATGCTGGAGTGCTCTTACGATGGCCACTTGTGGGTTTCCAGCCAAATGTAAAGAAATCACACTATCACGCTTGAATTCCATCTCGAATAACTTTTTTTCTGGAAAAGTCTCACCAAAATGCCTTTGTGCGGTTGTAAACAATATAATAAGCTGTCACTGAAATAATTTTAACAGCTGTCGGACGAGTGGCTTAGTAATGACAACAGTCTGAAATTGGTTGCAGTTTTTTCACCTCACCCTGTATGGTAAGCAATAACCGTAAAATCGAATAAAGATATATATCGAAGCTGTATAAAAATCTGATCCGATCTCAATAAAAATTTGGCAGAAGTATTTTCGACCTGTATCTGATGTCCGGTATTAAATATCATTGTTGTGGAGTTCATATTACGCCTGTGAGTGACTTTAACAACAAATCGGATAAAATATATGTATGGGAGCTATAGATATATCTAAACCGATTTTCACCAAAATTAGAAGTATTAGCTTCTAGACTGAATGCCGTCCGAATTGCCAAAATTCAACTTATTTGGACTGATATTTGCCATTTGGTGCACTATAAACCTTAAATCGGATTATGTCATATATTAAAGCTATATCCAAATCTCAAATGATAGCTGGTACCAAAGATCATTGTTGAGGAGTGCAAATTACGCATGTGAGGGACCTAAAACCCCAAATCGGATGACACATATATATGGGAGCTATATCTTTCCAGATTTCCAAATTTGAATTGCTTGTTTATAGGGTAAAATCATTTGGAATTGCCAAAATTCAGTCCATTTGGACTGATATTAGCCATTTGGTGTACAATAAACCTGATATCGGAAAGGGGAATATATGAGAGTTATATCCTACTCTGATCCGATCTTTATAAAATTTGACAGAGGTATTTTTGGGCTCCATAAGTTATCTGGTACCAAATATCATTCTTGTGGAGTGCATATTACGCACATGAGGGACTTAAAACCCCAAGTCGGATGAAACATATATATATATGGGAGCTAAAGCTATATTTGAACAGATTTTCTCTAATTTTAAATACTTTTTTCTAGGCTGAATTGGTCGGGTGTGCCAAAAACAGGTCATTTGGACTGATATTGGCCATTTGTTGCACAATTAATTCGAAATCGGTCAAAGAGATATATGGGAACTATATCTAAATTTGAACCGATTTTCACCAATTTCATTAGGGTTTGTCCTTGGGCGAAACAAATATTGTTTGGAAAATTTCATCTCGGATAATAAATGCTACCTGCATTTTGTACACAAAAATACATGGACAGACAGATGGACGAAAAGACGGACTGACATGTATAAATCTACAAGGAAAGTGATTCTATGAAGATCCTCAAAAATAACTATGGGTCTATCTCGCTTCCTTCTCCACGTTACAAACAAATGCACTGAGACATAATACCCTTACCCCTATGGGCTGTAGGGTATTAAAAATAATGTGAAATACAGCCGCCTTTTTAGAAATTTGAAGCAAAATTGTGCAATAATCACCAAATCGTACTGAATGCCTAATAATCACTTATTTTCTCCGGTGACATACCTTTATAAAAATAATTGGTTACTAGGTTGATTTATTAAACAATTACTTAGGAAATTCTTCATTATTTGGTAAAGGGAGTACTTATAGAGTTGTTTTGGAAATAATTATTAATTAAAATTAATAGATTTTAGCATTGATTAAATTTCTTCTCATTTATATCAAATTTACCATATCAACTAACCTTCTTTCATTTATTTTCAGATATAAAGGCCCATTGAAAACGAAGGCCAAAAATCTACACTCCTCGAAATATGTACAAACGACACGATCCATAAAAGACGATTTGGATTTGCAACAGGACACAGTGACGAAAAGCAATCTGAAACCACAAATGAGAGCTCTTTATGGAGATGAATTAGAAATAGTTATTTGAAATACCAAAAAAAAAAAAACGTAGCTTAAGTAAAACATATATTAAAATATTAAATATTTATGTTATATAACAAACATTTTTAATTTATCAGTCATTATTTGGCATAAAATGTTGATAGCCACGGGTAAAGATATAATTCTGAAATTGGTAATTTGGGTCACTGTTGGTGTGTAACCGTGAGAAATGGCAGTATTTTTGGAAATTATAACTATATCAGGTATTTGGCGAGCAGATAAATTTGGAATATGGGCGATTGTTGGTATGTAACGCTGAGATGTGGTTGCATTTTTGGAAATTAAAGTGAATAAGTACTAAAACTACACACCAAAGAAGCCATGGAGCCAAGCCAAGAATATAGAGTGAATACCACACCTCCCATCGCAGCTGAAGAGCGAGAGCTGCCCCAATAAACCTGAGTAATTTTGACACAAATAAAATCCAGATGGTACAGAACATCAGCCCAGCATGTGGCACAGGCTCACATGATACGTTGCACCTTTTTCACTGCCCAGCCAAACCTACTCATCTTATCCGATATCATAACAAACATTACACGCTGTCTCCTACTTGAATTTGAAGCTAGAAGCATAACCCTTTTGAGAAGAATGAATAAATGAATGAAACCTGAGGAGGACCCTAGGATTCTTTGAAACAAATTGGTTTCAGGACATTTGAAGTCGATCTTGGGGTGTCCGTCCGTCGTCTGGCTGGATATCTGGATGTCTGGTGTGCAGGATAACTCTCCAAGGATGTATCTATTTGCTCCAAACTTGGTACATCGTTATATTATTGTGAAACTTAGATGGAGTTCGGAGATGGCCAACATCGGACTCGCACTCCTTCTGGTACATCCCCCACAAAGATCAACATGTTCATAGAAAATAATTTACCACATAGAAAGAGAAAACATCATTCAATTTTATGCAAATTTGGTAAATCCCAATATTTACCTCCCCCACAAAGGCTCAAAATTTGAAGTAATTATGTATCTTTTAAAATGCGATGCGGTTCAGATTTGCATATAGCTCCGATTTTTATACCCTACATCACATAGTGGTATGGGTATTATGTCTTTGTGCATTTGTTTGTGACATACAGACATACCAAATTTAGAGAATCTTTATAGAATCACTTTGTGAGTCGATTTATGCATGTCAGTCCGTCCGTCCGTCCGATTTGGGGTTTAGTCCGTTACAAGCGTAATATGCACCACACAAGAATGATATTTGGTACCAGTTATTAGATACAGCCCAGAACTATATCTGCCAAATTTTATCAAGATCAGTTCAGATTTGGATATAGCTCCCATATATATATTCAACCGATTTCGGATTAATTGTGCACCAAATGGCCAATATCTGTCAAAAAGTCCTACATTTTGGTACATCCGACGAATTCAGTTCAAAAGCAAGTACATCAAATTTGGAGAAAATCAGTTCAGATACAACCATAGCTCCCATATCTATGTTTTATCTGATTTAATGTTTAAGTCCCTCACATTCGTAATATGCATTCGACAACAATGATAATTGGTACTTGATATCGCAAATATCTTTGACAAATTTCATCGAGAACCGCTAAGATTTGGGTAAAGCTCCCATATATCCTTAATCCGATTTTAGGTTTATTGTGCAACTAGCGGCTAATATCAGCCCAAATTGAGTGAATATCGGAACGTACGTTTCCATTTTGTACAACTCGGCTCCGATAAATATTTTTATACCCTTCACCATATTGTAGAGGGTATATTAAGTTTGTCATTCCGTTTGTAACACCTCGAAATATACAAAGTATAAATATTCTTGATCAGCATAAAATTCTATGTCGATTTAGCTATGTCCATCCGTCTGCCCGTCTGCGGTTTATAAAATTTCACTCAGACGTGTGTTTGTTCTTCAGGACTTTTGGTATTGAAAATGGGCCATTTAGGTCCTCGTTTTGGTATAGCCCCCATATAACGGAACCTCCCTACATTCAGTATTTGGATGATTTTAACGATATTATTCACCAGAATTGTTTCAAACTTCGTATTTGAAGTTCGTTATTGCTACTACAGCCCGTGACAGAAAAAAATTTTGAAAGTTCGGAATTGTTTGAAATTTCGTACCGGAATTTTTTGAAATTTCGTGCAGTGAATTTCACGGTTTCAGCTCTATCCATTAACACAATACCAATTTTTTCGAAAAGTACGAAGAACTACAGACGCATTTCCAAAACCACCTGCAAATCTCTATCACAGATACCAACACAGACCTCAATATCAAAATTAGGGATTTCAGCTCTATCCCTTCGTCCAATATATAATTTAAACAAAAACACCATTAGACATTAATATCAATACAAAATTTCAGATTACAGCTCTATTCTTTCACCCAATACCAAATCTAGTACTATTTAGTACTTTTCATACAATTATAGTACACATTTCAAAAACGACCTTAATAAGGTTGATATATGAACCTTACTTTCCAACCTTGATTCTCATACCAAATTTCCAGTTTTTAGCTCTATCTGCTCATATTATACCAAATGGTAAGATTTTAAAAATTTAGCATCATTTAAGAACTTTTGTAACATTAAAATTCGAATTTCAAAAAAACTTTTGATACACTATCCTACGAAGCATCAGTACTTTTCGAAAAAAAAAACGCAGCTTTATCACACGCACCAATGCAAAATTTCAAGATACTAGCTTCAGTCGTATCGCCTGGGTCAAAATTTGGAATAACCAAAAGTCTCATAAAATTCGAAATAAGCATCCGATTATTTCCAAACTTCGCACATCCCAATATTTCTACTAGAATAAGATCTGATATGGAAATGGGATACATCGGACCACTCTTTTGAATACCTTCCCCACAAAGGGTCAAAATTTGAAGATCTAAAACGCACATAAAATGCGAAATGTACTGCAGATTCTCTTCAAATTTCACACATTCCAATAGTTTAGTTATTACAAGATATGCTGTGAAAATGGGCTATACCGGCTTACACCTTTTATATATATTAAGTTTGTCATTCCGTTTGTAACACCTCGAAATATACATTTTAGACCCCACAAAGTACATATATTCTTGATCAGCATAAAATTCTATCTCGATTTAGCGATGTTCGTCCGTCTATCCGTCTGTGGAAATCAGTCTAGCTTCCGAACAAAATGAAGTAGATTGATAAAAGTTTACTCAAATCAATATTATGTCTGCAGGAAATTCGGTATTGAAAATGGGCCATGTAGGTCCACGTTTCGGTATAGCCCCCATATAACCGATATTCGGTATTTTTATGATTTTAGCGACATTATTCACCGGAATTGTTTCCAATTTGGTATTGGAAGTTCGCAATGGATACTACATCCTAAGACAGAAAATTGTCTGTGTAGGTCTACGTCTTCGTATAGACCCCATATAACGGTACTTCCGGATATTCGGTATTTTGATAATTTTAGCTATCTCATTCACCGATTTTTTTTTAATATTGTAATGGCTTGTGACAAAAGTTACCTATGCGGGTTCATATCGTCGTATAGACCCTAAAATAACAGCAACATTCGGTAGACCCAACAAAGTATATATATTCTTGATCAGCGTAAAATTCTAAGTCGATTTAGCGATGTCCGTCTGTCTGTCTGTTGTAATCACGCTATTTTTCGAACGAATTGGATACAAGACTAAAATTTTGCACACATGTTTATTTTTACAGTAGGCAGGTTGAGTTCGTAAATGGCCCATGTAGGTCCACGTTTTCATATAGCCCCCATATAACGGTACCTCCCGATATTCGGTATTTTGAGGAATTTAGTGACATTATTCACCGGGATAGTTTCAAATTTAGTATTTGAAGTTCGAAATGGATACAACAGCCTAAGACAGAAAATTGTTTGTGCAGGTCCACGTCTTCGTATAGCCCCCATATAACGGTACCTTCCTATATTCGGTATTTTGGTGATTTTAGCGTCTTTATTCACCAAAATTTTTTCAAATTACGCATTTAGAGTTCGTAATGGAAACTCCAGTCTGTGACAGAAAATTGTCTATTCAGGTCCAGGTCTTCTTATAGGCCCTATATACTAGTACCACCCTATATTCGGTATTTTGACGAGTTTAGGTACAATACTCACCGAAATTGTTTGAAATGTCGTATTTGAAGTTCGTAAAGGATGCTACAGAATATGACAAAAAATTGTCTTAGCAGGTTCAGGTCTTCGCACAGCTCCGATATAACGGTACCTCCATATATTCTATAATTTGATGATTTTAGCTACATTATTCACCGTTTACTTCAAGTTCCGAATTTGAATTTGGTAATGACTTTTGACAAATAATGCCTGTGTGGGTCCACGTAGTATAGGCACCAATATAACGGCAATATTTGTTATTTTTAAAATTTTACCAAAGTTTTTTCAGGATTTTATTTCCAAATTCGTTCTAAATAGTGGAGGTTTCGGACCCGGCCGAACTTACTGCTTTTTAACTTGTTAAAATTTTAACAGAATTTTTAACGGATTTTATTGTTTTTGAGAATTGCCAAATTCGTTCCAAATGGTGGAGTGTATTCAAAGTTCGACCGAACTTACAGCTTTCTTACTTGTTGATATATAATCTGTTGACCTTTTCTTTGGAAAATACAGTTGATCGTTCTTCTACACCTTCCACAGCCATCCATGACATAACTGCCCTTTAAAGTTTACTTTCTAAAGTAACAACAGTAGCCCTGTAGTTATCTCAGCCCCCCAAAAAGAACTAAACCATGTCAATAAACCCTAATTAGGCTACCAATATTTTCCAGCAACTGAGGAAAATCTCAACGATAAAAAAAAAACTCCATTAAAGTTCAATTAAAATTTAATTTCCGAAACATTTTCAATTTTCATGCTTATCAAAAGTACGGGCATTTACGATTTCCTGCTGATATCCAAAAGTAATGTGTAAGACCTCCTCACGTAAACCAAGCGCCAAACTAACGGCTGTAATAAATATTAACAGAATTTTTAGTTTCTAATT